GGTCAGGCAGCCCCACCTGACAAGGACCACCTGGATTAGGCAACGTTTCCCACAAAGCCCACCTCACACAGTCAGCCATGGGCCATTTCCTTCCATGCACGCAGCTCAAGCTGGGGCAACTATATGCAGAAACAAACTGTGGCAGCTTCGAAAGAAAGTCTCCTGATATAATTCCAACAAAAGGGAGCATACATTACTCAGCTCTGCAGGGGTCCTGGAAAGCACAGGAGTGTTTGGAATGGTGGCTTTGGCCGCAGGAGAAGCCACAACAGCCTTCCCTCCATCCCTCCCACACACAACAGCAGCCTTGCAACACAGTCTGATGACCTTCCCCATCTTCCCTCACATGGGCATCTTCCCTCCTAAAATCTCTGCCCATTTAATCCTATCTTGGCATCTGCTTCTCAGAGTACCTATTTCCTCAGAAGGAGGCTTTGGGGTCTCAGATACCACCATCCCTCCCCAGACACCCATGGCCTGTGTGTAGACGATTCAATGCCATGGGCCACACATGCTGGAGAAGCTGCTGGGAGATCCAGAGAAGAGAGTAACTGATTCTTCCTGGAGGCCTAGAAGGTCAAGAGAGGACAGGAAATGGCGGTGTTGCAGGAGAGCCATGAAGGATAAGTGGGATGGAACCGACATTCCTAAAAAAGAAGTGCAGGGGCCAGGCCCGGCAGCTCACGCCTGTAATCCCAGCACTTTGGGAGGCTGAGGCGGGCAAAGTAACCTGGCATGGTGCTGGGTGCCTGTAACGCTAGCTACTGGAGAGTCTGAGGCAGGGGAATCACTTGAACCTGGGAGGCGGAGGGTGCAGTGAGCTGAGATCGCGCCATTGCACTCCAGCCTGGGCAACAGAGCAAGACTCCATCTCAAAAAAAAAAAAAAAAAAAAAAAGGAGGTACAGAGACCCCAGCAGTTCAGCATGGCCAGAGTGTAGACATGCACGGGTGGTGGTCCAAGTTGAGGCTGGACACAGCCCACAGCCGTCTACAGTGTGAGGAGCAACATGGGAGACCACAGGTCCCTCCCTCACAGTCCTTAGCCTGGGCAGTGACATAGAGTTCAGTGACAGTCAATGGACAGCAGCCTTTCCCCAACACTAGGATCCCAAAGGGCTTTTGTTATGTGGGGTTTATCTTTCAATATTTGCCCTGTTAGATATTAAAACAGAGAGTTTTTCTTTTTAAGATGAAGCTGGGGCCAGGCGCGGCAGTTCACACCTATAATCTTAGTACTTTGGGAGGCCAAGGCGGGCAGATCACCTGAGGTCAGGAGTTCAAAACCAGGCTGGCCAACATAGTGAAACCCCCATCCCTACCAGAAATTCAAAAATCAGCCAGGCATAGTGGCACCCACCTATAGTCCCAGCTACTCGGGAGGCTGGAGGCAGGAGAATCACTTGAATCTGGGAGGCAGAAGTTGCGGTGAGCCGAGATCACGCCACTGCACTCCAGCCTGGGTGACACAGCGAGACTCCGTCTCAAAAAATAATAATAAAATAAAAGATGAAGCTGGGCTGGGCTCAGTGGCTCACACCTGTAATCCCAACACTTTGGGAAGCTGAGATGGGAGGATCGCTTGAGGCCAGGAGCTCGAGACCAGCATGGACAATACAGTGAGACCTCATCTCTACCAAAATACAAAAAATAAAAAATAGTCAGGCATGGCGGTGGGTGCCTGCCGTCCTAGCTACTCAGGAGGCTGGAGTGGGAGGATCATGTGAGTCCAGGAGGTCAAGGCTGCAGTGAGCCACGATCACACCATTGCACTCCAGCCTGTGTGACAGAGCAAGACCTTATCTCAAGAAAAAAAAAAAAAAATTGTTTTTTAATTAAAAACAGATGAGGCTGGAAGGCCAGCCTGTAATCCTAGCACTTTGGGGAGGCCAAGATGGGTGGATCACCTGAGGTCAAGAGTTCGAGACCAGCCTGGGCCAACACGCTGGAACCCCCATCTCTACTAAAAATACAAAAATTAGCTGGGCATGGTGGCAGGTGCCTGTAATCCCAGCTACTCTGGAGGCTGAGGCAGGAGAATCCCTTGAACCTAGAAGACGGAGGTTGCAGTGATCACACCGCTGTACTCCAGCCTGGGCAACAGAACAAGACTCTGTCTCAAACAAAACAAACAAATAAACAAACAAAAACATGGTGGCTGGGCACGGTGGTTCACGCCTGTAATCTCAGCACTTTGGGAGGCCGAGGCGGGCGGATCATGAGGTCAAGAGATTGAGGCCATCCTGACCAACATGGTGAAACCCCGTCTCTATTAAAAATATAAAAATTAGCTGGGCATGGTGACGGGCGCCTGTAGTCCCACCTATTCGAGAGGCTGAGGCAGGAGAATCGCCTGAACCCAGGAGGCAGAGGTTGCAGTGAGCCGAGATCACGCCACTGCACTCCAGCCTGGGTGAAGTAAAAAATTGTCTAGTATGCACTTCCAGCCTTAGTAGGCACAGCGATAACTACAATGTGATGTTTTTGATCTATGTACAAAACTTGTCAGATGATTCTACGGTCTCCGAAACATAATAATATGATGAAACACAATAATGAATAGGGCTGGGACTCTGGATAAGAGACTCAAGATGCATAGTGAGAGCGCTGCGAACAAATCTATAAGATCTCTCAGTAAAACAAACAACAAAAAAACACGGCAAGAACAAGCTCAAATGCCTAAGACCAAAGAAAGACTGGGGGCTTTATCCTACAGCAAGAAGGGAGTTGTCTGAAAGTTTTGAATCTGTGAGTCGTGACCGACATTATGCATTTTAGAAACATTTACCGAATCCAAGAATGAATGGCTAAAGGGCAATTAGGGAGCCTTGCAGTAAGAGTCATATTGTCTTTCACCTCTCAGAGATATGTAAATTTTTAAAGTAGAGAGAGGGAAGTGTGTGAGTTTTCTACGAAACCATATCACCATGTTGTACCATAATCTCTGATAACTGTATCTACAAAAAGACAAAATGAAAATCAGAATATAAATTATGTAATGTAGAATTTTACAGACACACATTCCTTTCTATATTGATTTTATTTCTTTTTTATTTTTTTTTTTTTTTTGGACGGAGACACACATACTCCCCAGCATGAGGATTGCAGTGGTCCCCGGATCTCAGCTCACACAAAAGCTCACACAACACACCGAAACGCCCACATTCTCCTACATCACTACACCCGAATAACCAAGGAAACTAACAAAAACAACAGGAAAACACAACAACACACAATACACCATCAAGCCGCGGCCTATGTTTTTTGATATTTTTTATTAGATAGGCGGTTTTCAACCGTGTTACAGCCAGGCAAAAAATGAAATCTCGAGATCTCGCTAGACCATCGTGATCCAACACCTAGCTCACAGGACCTCCCAAGCTAGTGCGGGATTACAGGGCTTGAGGGCGCCACCGCAAG